AGATTTACAAACTTGTGAGCCAACACACCGATCAGGTATATGTGGGGTCCACTTGTCTACCACTGAAAAATCGGATGTACTGTCACCGATCAGCTTACAAAGCCTACCAAAAAGGTGAACGGGGTTTTATGACCTCATTCATTCTGCTTGATCTCGGACATGTAGAAATTGTCCAGATCGACTCTCTGTCAATGTTTGATGAAGATGAGCTTAAGAGGAGAGAACGATACTGGATCGAAAAACTGGATACCGTGAATAAAAACAAGCCTGGAAGATCAGCATCAGAGTGGTATCAAGATAATCACAAGAAAATCAGACAATATGCCAATGAAAGAGTTGTCTGTGAGAAATGTGAGAAGTCTTATCCAAGAAATCACAAATCCCATCATGAAAAAACGAAATTCCACAGGCTCCGTGAATGATAAAATTGATGATGCTTATACAATGAATACCAAAAAAAGAGTTTTGTGTTTTCCTTTTCTCCTTTTTTTCTTTCCTTTTTTACAATACCAACTGCTCATTTTCTTGACTGGGGTTCCATTTATTTATTTTTATTTATTTATTTTTTTTTGATACGAAAGTCCACTATATTCCCGAATATGTGCGAGAAGTGGTGGCGGGGCCAGGCTGCTCTGCCGACCTCAAAGGTCTCGGCGTCTACGCAGATAAAGCGCGCCATAATGCAGTAAAACCATGAAGAGGGGAGGAAGAGGGGAAATGAATATTTGCAATTCTAAACCTGGCCTTGAGCTAATGCTGTTGAAAACGAGTAAAAAAAAAAACAAAAAAACATTAACCCTAACCCTAACCCTAACCCTAACCCAAACCCTAACCCTAATCCTAAACCAAAATATAATACCAAGGCATACAGCTAATTGCAATTCTAAGACACAGGCAATGCGAATGCTGGTGCAAGCGCAAAGTCAAACGCTAACCCTAACCCAAACCCAAACACTGACCCTAGCCCTGAACCAAATATAATACCTTAAGCTTCCATTTATATTCAATTCTAAGCCTGGCCTTGAACTAATGCTGTTGAAAACGAGTAAAAAAAAACACAACAAAATATTAACCCTAACCCTTACCCTAACCCTAACCCTAACTCTAACCTTAACCCTAACCCTAACCCTAACTCTAGCCCTAGCCGTAAACCAAAGGCTAATAGGAAGGGATACAGCTAATTGCAATTCTAAGCCTAATCCTGAACCAATGCTGGCGAAAACGATCAAAAAACGATAAAAAACATTAACCCTAACCCTAACCCCAACCCTAACCCTAATCCTAAACCAAAATATAATACCAAGGCATACAGCTAATTGCAATTCTAAGCCACAGGCAATTCGAATGCTGGTGCAAACGCAAAACCTCAACGCTAACCCTAACCCTAACCCTAACCCAAACACTGACCCTAGCCCTGAACCAAATCTAACACCTTAAGAGAGCATGTCTGAGAATACCAAAGTATGTGTGCACGTGGATCTCTCCGATTTCGCTCAAACATTTCCAGGTAGGTTCCCTTTGGGGTGTGGATCGACTGTGCAAAGCCCTTGAAAAAGTTTCTGAAGGGAACCTTGAAATTTGCATACCCTCAAAATGGCCGAAATATCACATTATCTATGGGTCTAGAACGAGTCACGCCACAGCGTATACGAACAAGCTATGAACAAAACTCCATCAAGCCAACATTGCCTCGCCTTAGAAGAGTTCCAGGAGCAGTACCGCTTAGCCACGCCAGCATCCCAGAAGACGAGGTCCATCACCCCCTGACGCCACAAATGACCCTTTTGAAAATAGCTAATTTACAAGCGATGGCAAAACAGCCATCTACGTTCTCAATTGGCCAGAACTATACACCGGCAGATAGTAGAACACCTCTTCTAGCGCTGAGGACATGTCCCCCATCTTCCTTTTGGGGTTTTCTTGATATAAACCTTTTTGAAGTTTTAAACTCGACCATGCTGAAATACGGCCAAAGTCATACCTGCGCAGGAAAGCTCGCCACTCCGCGACGTCTCCTCAGCAATTTCTACTCCAACACTACTCCCAAGGCCGCAGAACAAAGTGTAGTGTTGACTCTGACAAGGAAAAGCAGCGGTGATCACTTGTCACTCCAAACGACAAGCTTCTCCTTGTGCCACCAATAATTTTTTGTGCGACTGTTGATGCAAAAGTGACTGAAAGCCTGGGCGCAGTTTTTTTATTTTTATTGCCAGATGCACGGTGAGATCGCGTGCTCTGTGACGTAGGATGACGCTTCCTGCATCACGATTCGCGGCCATCGATCGCGAATGTGCCTGGAACGCTACTCGGACCAGACCATGATCTGATGATGGCAGAGGTAAGAATGAGCTTCATTTCCTGCTTGAACTGCTGAGAACCCCCACAAACTGTCCTAGGAGTGTTGCAATGGCAGCAAGCCGTTGAAATATGCCCCGTACAGCATGGATAGTTATTCGTCTTTCAAACTTACCTCCTGCAATCCCGAACATAGTCCAACAGTAAAAGTCCCTTGTTTTCATGTCGATGCTCGACAAAAGCGGCTAGCTCGGTCCCTTTGTGTTGACTGGCACGCGAGCAGCACTGGCTGCACGCACTTGTCGCGTGAACTGCATGAGAGATTTCTTACGTCATAAAGAATGTCATGTCATCATCATTTCACTGGTCTTCGACCTACATGGTCAGGGAAAGTCCCGGTTCGTAGGCCTACAACACGGTCAGCGTGTTCTTGAGCGCAGTAACAACACAAGTGTGATCACTTCCAGACCAACGGGCGTTCAAGGCGAGTAACAAGCGCACTTGACAAAGGTGTCTCTGAAATCTCGTGAGCCGTGGGCCACGCGACTTGGCATTCTTGCGTCACAAGGCACGTGATTTCACCGTGCATCTTGCAATAAAATTCAAAAACTGCGCTCAGGCCTTCAGTCACTTTTGCATCAACAGTCGCACAAAAAATTATTGGTGGCGCAAGGAGAAGCTTGTCGTTCGGAGTGACAAGTGATCACCGCTGCTTTTCCTTGTCAGAGTCAACACTACACTTTGTTCTGCGGCCTTGGGAGTAGTGTTGGAGTAGAAATTGCTGAGGAGACGTCGCGGAGGGGCGAGCTTTCCTGCGCAGGTATGACTTTGGCCGTATTTCAGCATGGTCGAGTGGAAAAATTCAAAAAAATTATTTCAAGAAAACCCCAAAAGGAAGATGGAGAACATGTCCTCAGCGCTAGAAGAGGTGTTCTACTATCTGCCGGTGTATAGTTCTGGCAAATTGAGGACGAAGCTGGCTGTTTTGCCAGCGCTTGTAAATTGGCTATTTTCAAGACGATCATTTGTGGCGTCAGGGGGTGATGGACCTCGTCTTCTGGGATGCTGGCGTGGATAAGCGGTACTACTCCAGGAACTCTTCTAAGGTGAGGCAATGTTGGCTTGATGGAGTTTTGTTCATAGCTTGTTCGTATACGCTGTGGTGTGACTCGTTTCTAGACCCATAAATAATGTGATATTTCGGCCATTTTTGAGGGGTATGCAAATTTCAAGGTTCCCTTCAGAAACTTGTTCAAGGGCTTTGCACAATCGATCCACACCCCAAAGGGAGCCTACCTGCAAATTTTGAGCGAAATCGGAGAGATCCACTTGCACACATACTTTGGTATTCTCAGACATGCTCTCTTTTAAAAGCTTCCATTTATTTAGTAGTAGTAGTAGTAGTAGTAGTAGTAGTAGTAGTAGTAGTAGTAGTAGTAGTAGTAGTAGTAGTAGTAGTAGTAGTAGTAGAATTTATTATTTTACTAGGGAACTCCCAACAGGCGTTGCCCTTTTACTGGGAGCCCTAGGAATGACTTGGTGCTTGTGACAAATGCAGAAAGGGGCTTAGCTTGACGACATCCAGGTGGAAGCATGTTCCATCTGTCTGCTGCCAAAAATGAAATAGCATTCAGGCCGTCACGAGACGTAGCTCTGCAATTCTAAGCCTGGCCTTGAACTAATGCCGTTGAAAAGGAATAAAAAAACGACAATAAAACATTAACCCTAACCCTAACCCTAACCCTAACCCTAATCCTAAACGAAAATCTAATACCAGGGCATACAGCTAATTGCAATTCTAAGACACAGGCAATGCGAATGCTGGTGCAAACGCAAAACCAAACGCTAACTCTAACCATTACCCTAACCCAAGCCCTAACCCTGAGCCTATGCCTAACCCTAACCCTAGCCCTAAACCAAAGGCGATAAGCAAGGGGTACTAGCTAATGGCTAAGCCTAATCCTGAACTAATACTGGCGAAAACGATCAAAAAATGATAAAGAAACATTAACCCTAACCCTAACCCTAACCACAACCCTGACCCTAATCCTGAACCAAAATCTAATACCAAGGCATACAGCTATTTGCAATTCTAAGCCAATGGGAATGCAGGCAATGGGAATGCTGGTGCAAACGCAAAACCGAACCCTAACCCTAACCCTAACTCTGACCTAAACACTGACCGTAGCCCTGAACCAAATATAATACCCAAGCTTATATTTATTTGCAATTCTAAGCCTGGCCTTGAACTAATGCTGTTGAAAACGAGTAAAAAAAACGATAAAAAACATAAACCCTAACCCTAATCCTAACCCTAACCCTAAACCTAACCCTAACTGTAGCCCTAGCCATAAACCAAAGGCTATTAGCAAGGCGTACTGCTAATTGCAATTCTAAGCCTAATCCTGAACCAATGCTGGCGAAAACGATGAAAAAACGATAAAAAACATTAACTCTAACCCTAACCCTAACCCTAACCCTAACCCTTACTCTAGCCCTAGCCCTAAACCAAAGGCTATTAGGAAGGGGTACAGCTACTTGGTCCGTTTCACCGCAATTGTCGCTTATCGATCTGACATGTTTTTGACAGTTTTAGACCCACGCACTTCGCCAAAAGCACCATTTCTTTGTTGTAGTCCATGATGGCAGATTCGGAAAGACGTTCTCCGAGGAAAGCTCCTCGATTGCAACGCGTTGCGGCTCAAATGGCCGGTGAACAAACGCCTAGTCGTCGTAAAAAGCGCACTCCTACTCCTCGCAAGAAGTGTGCAGACGTGAAGACTCCGGATCGCTGGAGAATCGTGACTGCCTACATGGAGCTGAGCAAGGGTCGGGATAGACTACCTCGAGGAGCTATGGAGAAGTTGAAGCATCGATTCCCTCACCTACATCTAACAGCGCGGACAGTTCAGAGGATCGTCACGCAGTACAAGAAGCAAGCTCGTGACAACGAAACTGCAGGAAACGTTCGCCTTACCAGACGACGCGCGAGCCTTTGTGGCGGCCAGGGGATGGTTCTGACACGTGAGCTAGCCAGCAAGCTCATCGAGATAAATGATCGTCACTGGGGACGGCTCTCCTGCAAGAAGCTTGCAGGCGAGTTGACGACCGCTGGCTTTGCTTGCAGCGTTGTTTCTGTGTACCGGTGGTGCAAGATCCTCGGAGCTACTCGACGCCGCCGCTATATCAAGCCGAAGCTTACACTGAAACATCGCCGTGACCGCCTGTCGTGGGCAATCAGCAGGTACGACAGGAGAAAGAAGAAGTTCGGAGACAACAACAATATTGCACACGGTGACGAGAAGTGGTGGTACTTGATGAGAGATGGCTCGGTGTGCCGTGTATTCCCACAAACTGTGGTGAATGACAAAGGAGAGACAGAACGCGTCGTCAACATGCCTGCAGACCCACGCGTGTATCACAAAAGCCGGATGCCAAAGGTGATGTTTTTGGCAGTCACGGCGAAGCCGCGTGCAGAGTACGGCTTTGATGGGAAAGTAGGCATGTGGCCTTTCACAGTTGTACGAAAGGCCAAACGCAGCCATGCCAAAACAGGCACAGTGGCTGGTGAAACGGACATCATCGAGAGCGTGACTGTGACTGCTGAAGAGTACAGGCACACGATGCTCAAGAAGAACGGTGTGTTTTGCAAACTGCGAGAGAAGATGTGGTGGTTCGGGAAGAATGCCGGCACTCCAGAGGCTGGAACGACACTATATTATCAGCACGATGGAGCCAGGCCACATACAGCGAAAGCAAACGAAGCGCACTGGTCGCGACATGGACAGAAGTCGGGATTCTCCATCGATGTCGTCGTCCAGCCTGCACAATCACCCGACCTGAACGTGAACGACCTTGCCTTCTTCTCCAGCTTGCAAAGCGATACGGAGCTGGTAGCGAAGCGGAATGTGTTTGACCTTGTGGCAGCTGTCGAGAAATCGTGGGCAGAGTACCCTCAAGAGCGAATGGAAGCTGTGTGGAGAGTACTGTACGCATCGTTCAAAGGAATCGTGACAGCTCGCGGTGACAACTCGTACAGCCATCACACAGGTAGTCGAGCGGCTCACTCTGCATCGTCCAGGAGAGGGGAAAGTCACGACAGGAGGTTTCCTCAAGCAGAGATCGATCAGGCCACGGCTGTGAGAGACACTCTAAGCCAGCAATTGGAAACAGGAGTTGAAGGAGTCGTGTCAACCTCCAGCGCTCATGAGGACACTGATGACGAGTAATTATTTCGTGAGAGCACAATGTCCGCGATCGATTTTCTATTATTCTGATCTTCACCCACCTCACAATTTGCTGGACTTGTGTGGTTTATATGTTTCCGTACCCCGTACACCACTTTTGAGCGCATGAACAGTCTTTGTTTTCATTTCTAGCTCTATTCATCTACCGCAAAGATAAGCGACAATTGCCCTGAAACGGACCAAGTACTTGCAATTCTAAGCCTGATCCTGAACTAATGCTGGCGAAAACGGTCAAAAAACGATTAAAAACATTAACCCTAACCCTCACCCTAATCCTAAACCAAAATCTAATGACAAGACATACAGCTAATTGCAATTCTAAGCAACCGGCAATGCGAATGTTGTTGCGAACGCAAAACCGAACGCTAACCCTAACCTAACCCTAACCCTAACCTAAACACTGACCCTAGCCCTGAACGAAATCTAACACCTTAAGCTTCCATTTATTTGCAATTCTAAGCCTGGCCTTGAACTGATGCTGATGAAAACCAGTAAAAAACGACAAAAAACATTACCCTAACCCTAACCCTAACCCTAACCCTAACCTTAACCATAGCCCTAACTCTAGCCCTAGCCCTAAACCAAAGGCTATTAGCGTGGGGTACAGCTAATTGCAATTCTAAGCCTAATCCTGAACTAATGCTGGCGAAAACGATCAAAAAACGATAATAAAACATTAACCCTAACCCTAACCCTAACCCTAACCCCAACCCTTACCCCAATCCTAAACCAAAATCTAATACCAAGGCATGGAAACCCCAACCCTAACCCTAATCCTAAACCAAAATCGAATACCAAGGCATGGAAACGCAAAACCAAACGCTAACCCTAACCCTAACCCTAACCCTAACCCTAACCCTAATCCTAACCCAAACACTGACATTACCCAGGCCTTGAACTAATGCTGTTAAAAACGAGTAAAAAAAGGACAAAAAACATTAACCCTAACCCAAACCCTAACCCTAACCCTAACCCTAACCACAAACCTAACCCTAATCCTAAACCAAAATCTAATACCAAGGCATACAGCTTTTTGCAATTCTAAGCCGCAGGGAATGGGAATGCTGGTGCAAACGCAAAACCGAACGCTAACCCTAACCCTAACCCTAACCCTAACGCTAACCCTAACCAAAACACTGACCGTAGCCCTGAACCAAATATAATACCCAAGCTTACATTTATTTGCAATTCTAAGCCTGGCCTTGAACTAATGCTGTTGAAATCGAGTAAAAAAACGACAAAAAACATTAACCCTCACGCTAACCCTAACCCTAACCCTAACCCTAACCCTAACTCTAGTCCTAGCCATAAACCAAAGGCTATTAGCAAGGCGTGCCGCTAATTGCAATTCTTAGCCTAATCCTGAACCAATGCTGGCGAAAACGATCAAAAAACGATAAAAAACATTAACTCTAACCCTAACCCTAACCCTAACCCTAAACCTAACCCTAACTCTAGCCCTAGCCATAAACCAAAGGATATTAGGAAGGGGTACAGCTAATTGCAATTCTAAGCCTAATCCTGAACTAATGCTGGCGAAAACGATCAAAAAACGATTAAAAAAATTAACCCTTATCCTTACCCTAACCCTAACCCTAACCCTAACCCTCACGCTAATCCTAAATCAAACCTAATACCAAGGCATACAACTAATTCCAATTCTAAGAAACAGGCAATGCGAATGCTGCTGCAAACGCAAAACCAAACGCTAACCCTAACCCTAACCCTAACCCTTACCCTAACCCTAGCCCTAACTCTAGCCCTAGCCCTAACCCAAAGGCTATTAGCAAGGGGTACAGCTAATTGCAATTCTAAGCCTAATCCTGAACCAATGCTGGAGAAAACGATCCAAAAACGATAAAAACATTAACCCTAGCCCTAACCCTAACCCCAACCCTAACCCTAATCCTAAACCAAAATATAATATCAAGCCATACAGCTAATTGCAATTCTAAGAAACAGGCAATGCGAAGCTGGTTCAAACGCAAACTAAACGCTAACCCAAACCCTAACCCTAACCCTAACCCTAACCCTAAACCTAAACCTAACCCTAACCCTAACCCTAGCTCTAACTCTAGCCCTAGTCCTAAACTAAAGGCAATTAGCAAGGTGTACAGCTAATTGCAATTCTAAGCCTAATCCTGAACCAATGCTGGCGAAAACGATCAAAACACGATAAAAAACATTAACCCTAACCCTAACCCTAACCCTACCCCTAACCCTAACCTTCGCCATAATTTTTTGGCATGATTTTACTTTCGCCATAATATTCTACCTTCCTGCCATAATTTCGACTTTCCTGCCATAATTTGAGGACAAAGGTTGGAATTTTTGAATTTTGATAATTGCATAACGGTCGCCTAGTGCTCAATCGTACGCTAAAATAAATGATTTTCCAAAAAAGGAAGAAACAAAAAACTTGCCAAAATTTCCCAAAATATTATGGCAGGAAAGTAACAATTTATGGCAGGAAAGTAGAATGGCATGGATTTTTTTGGATTTATTTAAATTTTACAATTGCATAATATAAAGCGTATGTTGAATATTACTCTACGTATTTCATTTTCCATTTTGACATAAACACAACACTTTTACATATACATACATATTATGGCAGGAAGGTAATAAATTATGGCAGGAAAGTAGAAGTGGCATGATATTTGAACAAACGGCGAGGAGACAACAAATTGATAACCGCAATCAGTAATACAAGCTGGATCGACATTTGTGTACACTGTATTCATGTATTGTAAAACTGTGGAGACAATGTGCAATAAAACGATGAAAAATGTGAAGAAATTGTGTAGAGAAAGAAAGGGATTCAAACAAGTTTTCGTACAACACTCATCAGGAATCGTCGTTGTACTAAAGGACACTGAAACAAAAATTGAACTATTATAGAAAATCTAAGTTAGAGAAATAACACTAAGAGCACCAACAGTGAAATTTACAAGTGTGAATTTTAACAATCAAAGCGAGAAATGAACAAAGGAGAAAGGAAGGAAAGACAACGTGATAACACATAACAGCAGTACATTAAACCTAGAACATTAACGGCCAAGCTTGGCCGCACTAAACACGACACGTTACTTGAACAATTTCAACCCAATTATACTATCTTTCTGTACACACAAATTAGGCTTGTACAGACGCTGCTAGATAGCTTCCAACACTTTTAACTGTAGTCCATAACCATGACGACCACGGCACAATACAGTGAACGAAGAGTCGGAATACGCACCGCAACAATCAGGACTAGCCAGCAGATGATTGTACACTGAAGACTTGCTACCACGAAACCTACGCACAACACTAACACTCTCACCGGCACTCTCACCACCACTCCCATCACCGCTCTCCGACACACTGCTCCCTCCACTGTCCGTCCCATCCTCTGCTTCCGCTGTACTCTCTCTGTCTCGTCCATCCCGCCTGACCGGGTCCATTGAACTCAACTCGGCCGTCCCCCTGCTATCACGTCCCTCCTTTCGCCCTCGTCCGCTGAGTGCGTAGCTTCTGTTGTAGTTGGCTGTTGATCGTCTTGGTCTTTCAATTATGGGCTTGGATGGTGGATTAGTTGTAGTTGCTGTAGATTGCGTTGTTGGTGTTGGCGTGGGAGTTACTGATATGCAAGGTGGGTCTTTTTGAGTCGGCATTTGTAGTGTTAATGCAGCTGTCAGTGTTGCTCGCGGTCTGCCACTGGCAAGCTCCACCGCCGCAAGAACCGATGGCGGAGGATCAGGAGGAGGCAGTGGGACCGGGACCGCAAGCGGCACCGCCCCAGCCAAAGCCGCCGGGGGCACTGACGAGGGAACCACCGACGGCCGGAGCAAAGGCGGCGACACAAGCCGACCCGATGAGCCACCACGCCCATTCTCCTCCACCACCGCCACCAACGACGGCGGAGCAAGCACAGTCTGAGAGCCAGGATCCGCGGGTTGTGTAGGCAACGGCTGTGTGGTTAATGGTTGTTTTCTAGGTCGCCCTCGCTTCGGTCTTTGTTGTTGTGCGCAAGGTGGAAGTATGTGACGTGGTGTGTGTTGTTTGATGCGTGCGTTCAGGTGCTGAACAGTCCTACCAACATACCGACTAGCGCATTGTCGGCATTCAAAGTTGTAAATAAGATGACTAAGGTGAAGGGCTGGTAGGACATCCTTCCGCACCGTAAACGCACGCATCGTCGTAAAAACTGGCACAAAGTGTACTGCATAGTATGTTCGACGAACAACGGACTTGACTGCACTACAAACTTTAGTCGACTCCTGTCCTTTCCAAGGCAAACATAAATAGACGGGACAACGAGCAGGACCAAACAAAGGAGCCTTAGTAGTTTGTTCGACTTTCAACAACTTCTGCAGCAAAAACTCAGGGTACCCGTTCTTAACGAAAACTGACCGGAGAAAGTCAAGCTCTTCCTGCAGCTTACAGGACGAACAAATACGCTTCGCACGGTCTACAAGGTTACGCACTAAGTTTACTTTATATTGAGACGAACAATAAGAGTCATATACAATGTACTGACCAGTAAACGTCGGCTTACGATAAACGGTTGTCAGAACTAAGGCTCCTTTGTTTGGTCCTGCTCGTTGTCCCGTCTATTTATGTTTGCCTTGGAAAGGACAGGAGTCGACTAAAGTTTGTAGTGCAGTCAAGTCCGTTGTTCGTCGAACATACTATGCAGTACACTTTGTGCCAGTTTTTACGACGATGCGTGCGTTTACGGTGCGGAAGGATGTCCTACCAGCCCTTCACCTTAGTCATCTTATTTACAACTTTGAATGCCGACAATGCGCTAGTCGGTATGTTGGTAGGACTGTTCAGCACCTGAACGCACGCATCAAACAACACACACCACGTCACATACTTCCACCTTGCGCACAACAACAAAGACCGAAGCGAGGGCGACCTAGAAAACAACCATTAACCACACAGCCGTTGCCTACACAACCCGCGGATCCTGGCTCTCAGACTGTGCTTGCTCC